ATAATATAGAATCGTTTCATCTATAGATAATATAGATAAAAATACTTATATTAATAGATATAATAATATATATAAATATATATTTTAGTATTCTAAATTATTGATGTAGTTACAATTGAGTTGGCACAAATCCTATCCATTTATCACTCCCGTGCCCCCTTCCAAATTCCCACCCCAAATTCCTTCTCCTTCCTGGAGCTGCCACATTCCTGGGTGTTATAAATGATCAGCCAGAAATCTGAATTAATAAATTAGAAAGGTTTTATTTTTGTGACTAAAAGGATACAAAACCCAAACCCCAGAACCTCAAAGCCACCACAGCCAAAGAAACAGCACCGAGCCAGGAATCGGCGCTGGGTGATCCTGGATCCTGTATGGCACCAGATCTCCCTCTGTTCACGTTATAAATGATCAACGAGAAATTAATCCAAATTAATAAATGCGAAAGATTTTATTTTTGTGACTAAAAATTCAGTTCTCAAAACCCAGATTTGGTTCTCAACAGCCACAGCCAAAGAGGCAGCGTCGAGATCGTTGCTGGGTGAACACAGACCCGGCCCCTATCGCGCCGAATCCCCTCTGTTCATGTAATAAATTATCAACGAGAAATCCGAATTAATACATGCGAAAGATTTTATTTTGGTGACTGAAAATTCGGTTCTCACGAGTCACAATCAAAGGGACAGCGTGGAGCCCGGGATCGGCTCTGGGTGAACCCAGATCCGGCCTCTATCGCATCTCTGGGTCATATGTTATATAATTTATAACATGAACAGAGGGTCTCCCTCTGTCCATGTTATAAATTATCAACGAGAAATCCAAATGAATAAATGCGAGAGATTTTATTTTCTTGACTAAAAATTTGGTTCTCAAAACCCCCAGCCAAAGAGACAGCGTCAAACACGAGATCGGCACTGGGTGAACCCAGATCCGGCCTCTGTCACATCAAATTCCCCTCTGTTCATGTTATAAATTATCAACCAGAAATCCAAATGATTTTATTTTCGTGATTTAAAATTCGTTTCTGAAAACCCCCAGCCAAAGGGAAGGTGTCGAGCCTGGGATCAGCTCTGGGTGAACCCAGAGCCGGCCTCTGTCACATCAAATCCCCCTCTGATCATGTAATAAATTATCAACGAGAAATCCAAATTAATAAATGCGAAAGATTTTATTTCCTTGACTGAAAATTCAGTTCTCAAAAGTCACAATCAAAGGGACAGCGTGGAGCCCGGGATCGGCACTGGGTGAACCCTGATCTGACCTCTATCGCATTGGATATCCCCGTGTTCATGCTATAAATTATCAATCAGAAATCCAATTCAATAAGTGCAAAAGATTTTATTTTCGTGACTAAAAATTCGGTTCTCAAAACCCAAATTCAGTTCTGAAAACCCCCAGCCAAAGAGACAGCGTTGGGATCAGCACTGGGTGAACCCAGATCCGGCCCCTATCGCATTGAATGCCCCTCTGTTCATGTTATAAATTATCAATGACAAATCCAAATTAATAAATGAGAAAGATTTTATTTCCTTGACTGAAAATTCAGTTCTCAAAAGTCACAATCAAAGGGACAGCGTGGAGCCCGGGATCAGCACTGGGTGAACCCGGATCCGGCCTCTATTGCATCGGATCTCCCTCTGTTCATGTTATAAATTATCAACAAGAAATCCAAATTAATAAATGCGAAAGATTTTATTTTTGTGACTAAAAATTCAGTTCTGAAAACCCCCAGCCAAAGAGACAGCGTCGAGCCTGGGATCGGCTCTGGGTGAACCCAGATCCGGCCCCTATCGCATCGGATCTCCCTCTGTTCATGTTATAAATTATCAACAAGAAATCCAAATTAATACATGCAAAAGATTTTATTTTGGTGACTAAAAATTCTGTTCTGAAAACCCACAGCCAAAGAGACAGCGTTGGGATCAGCACTGGGTGAACCCAGATCCGGCCTCTATCGCACCGGATCCCCCTCTGATCGTATAATAAATTATCAATGAGAAATGCAAATTAATAAATGAGAAATATTTTATTTTCTTGACTAAAAATTTGGTTCTCAAAACCCCCAGCCAAAGAGACAGCGTCAAACACGAGATCGGCACTGGGTGAACCCAGATCCGGCCTCTATCGCATCGGATCCCCCTCTGTTCATGTTATAAATTATCAACAAGAAATCCAAAATAATAAATGCAAAAGATTTTATTTTGGTGACTAAAAATTCAGTTCTCAAAACCCAAATTCAGTTCTGAATACCCCCAGCCAAAGAGACAGCGTCGAGCCTGGGATCGGCACTGGGTGAACCCGGATCCGGCCCCTATCGCATCGGGTCTCGCTCTGTTCATGTTATAAATTATCAACGAGAAATCCAAATTAATAAATGCAAAAGATTTTATTTTGGTGACTGAAAATTCGGTTCTCACAAGTCACAATCAAAGGGACAGCGTGGAGCCCGGGATCGGCACTGGGTGAACCCAGATCCGGCCTCTATCGCATGGGATCCCCCTCTGTCCATGTTACAAATTAGCAATCAGAAAGCCAAATTAATAAATGCCAAGGATTTTGTTTTGGTGACTAAAAATACAATTCTCCAAAGTCACAATCAAAGGGCCGGCCTCCATCGCATCGGATCCCCCTCCGCTCACCAACGCCGTTTCCATCGGGGCTGCTTTATTCCGATTTTTACGCCTGAGGCGGAGGTGCCCCGATTTCTTTTGTCACCCCGCACGTGTGGGAAGTTCCTTTCACTGCACAGGGGAAGGGGAGCGTTCACATTTGTGTTCCTCCAGGACTCCGCTTATCTCGATGGGTGACATTTATCAGGTACTGACCACCCTGGGGTGTTCCCCGATGGTTCTGGGGGAAGCGCATCCCTTCTCCAGCCGCGTCCTTTCAATATTAAATAAAGAATTGTTCAGCTGCTGCCACCAGAGTTTGGTAATTCCAGTGCTCAGAGGCTCGTTGGATTTTTAAATTTATTTTACTATTTTTACTTTTGACATTTTCCACCTAAGCATGAATTATTTTCCATTATATATTACAACCATAAGTATGAATTATTTTCCATTACATATCACAGCAACTTCAGTGAGGCAATCGGTCCATGGGCTATCTGTGGTCTCAGGCTCTTTAGATTTTCATTACATGTTTAACTTATTGTACAATTTTTATTTTTATACATTTTCCACCTAAGCATGAATTATTTCACATTATATATTACACCCCTAAGTACGAATTATTTTATGTTACATATCACAGTAACTTCCGTGTGGCAATCTGTCTGCAGGCTGTCCGTGCTCAGAGGCCCGTTGGATTTTTAAATTTATTTTACCATTTTTATTTTATACATTTTCCACCTAAGCATGAATTATTTTCCATTATATATTACATCCATAAGTGTGAATTATTTTGCATCACATATTACAGTAATTCCATTGTGGCAATCTGTCTGCGGTCTGTCCGTGCTCAGAGGCCCATTGGATATTGAATTTATTTTATAATTTTTTATTTTTGTACATTTTCCGCTTAAGAATTAATTATTTGTCATTGTATATCACAGCAACTTCTGTGTGCTAATCTGTCTCTGGGTTGCTCACGGTCAGAGGCTCGTTGGATGTTAGATTTATTTATTGTACAATTTTTATTTTATACATTTTCCACCTAAGCATGAATTACTTTATATTATATATCACGCCCCTAAGTATGAATTATTTTACATTACATATCACAGCAACTTGGGTGTGCCAATCTGTCTGCGGGCTGTCCGTGCTCAGAGGCCCCTTGGATTTTCCTTAGATGTTTAATTTATTTTACAATTTTTATTTTATACATTTCGCGCCTAAGCATGAGTTACTTTCCATCACATATTACATTGGGATCCCCCAAATTCCTGCCCGAAATTCCCGCCTCAAATTCCTGGAGTCGCACATTCCCGGGGGAAACTGAGGCACGAAACCCCCTTCATCCTGGGATCCCTCAAATCCCTGCTGGTTCCTGCGGCATTCCTGGGGAAACTGAGGCACGGCCCCCCCCAATCCCGGGATCCCCCAAATTCCCGCCTCAAATTCCTGGAGTCGCACATTGCTGGGGAAACTGAGGCACGAACCCCACCTCATCCTGGGATCCCCCAAATTCCGGCTCTTTACTGCAGCATTCCACGGAGAAACTGAGGCACAGCCCCCCCCCCAATCCCGGGATCCCCCAAATTCCCACCCTGAAATTCCCGTCTCAAATTCCTGGAGTCGCACATTCCTGGAGAAACTGAGGCACAGCACCCCCGACACCCTGGGATCCCCCAAATTCCTGCCCCAAATTCCTTCTCCTTTCTAGAGCTGCCACGTTCCTGGGGGAAACTGAGGCACAAACACCCACCTTCATCCTGGGATCCCTCAAATTCCGGCTCTTCACTGCAGCATTCCAGGGGGAAACTGAGGCACAAACCACCCAACATCCTGGGATCCCCCAAATTCCCACCCTGAAATTCCCGCCTCAAATTCCTGGAGAAACTGAGGCACAAAACCCCCTTCATCCTGGGATCCCCCCCAAATTCCCGTTCGTTCCTGCGATATTCCTGGCGAAACTGAGGCACAGACCGCCAATCCTGGGATCCCCCAAATTCCTGGAACTGCAACATCCCAGGGGGAAACTGAGGCACAGACCGCCAATCCTGGGGTCCCCCAAATTCCTGGAGCTGCAACATCCCAGGGGGAAACTGAGGCACGGCCCGCCGGGTCCCGCCCGATCCGTCCGTCATTCCCGGAGAACAATGGGAACCGGGAACCGGGACAGGGGGACGGGGGCGGGGCGGGGCCGGGACCGGGACCGCCCCCGTCCCGCGGGGACTCGGACCCGGATCGGGATCGGGACCGGGATCGGGACCGGGATCGGGATCGGGATCGGGATCGGGATCGGGATCGGGACCGGGACCGGGATCGGGACCTGGACCGGGATCGGGATCGGGATCGGGACCGGGACCGGGACCGGGATCGGGATCGGCACCGGGATAGGGACCTGGACCGGGATCGGGACCGGGATCGGGATCGGGGACCCCCGGCCCGGCCGCGGAGCCCGGAGCGGGTAGGGGACACTCGGGGGGCTGCGGGATCCGGGAATGGGAGGGGGAATTCCGGGAATGTGCGAGGATCCCGGGAATGTGTGCGGGACACTCGGGAATGGTGATGCCGAATTTTGCCCCAAAAGGCGAGAGTAACTGCCTAAGAGACTCAATTTAAGTCAGCATAGACAGGAGGTATTTTATTACGACGCGTCGGAGAAATCACAAAAGGGATTTCTGAGTATCTCGTAACAAAAGCAAGCCTTTTATACAGTTTTGAATATAAAGTTACATCATATCACATGCATAATCATGTTTTTGCATGCATATTCATAAGAGGCGTGGTGTGGGCGGAGCGTGGGCGGAGACATCTCTTTTGAGGATCACTTCGGTGGTCGTTCCGGTTGCCTTCATCGTGGGCAGGGGTCACCTGATGAGTCTTCCTCCTTAAACTTTTGAACTCCTATGCTAATATGGCCAATTCCCGGTGTACTTGGCCTGGTCCCATGGCTTGGCAAGAAGGCTCTTAGGGTCAGTTTGACATTGTTGGCTCTGAGCATGCTTAGCCCATCAGTTCCCCCATCCCTGTCTCTCTTTCCTGTCATAGTGTTCCATGCCTTAGCCGATTTATTGCCCTATATGTTTCCTAAGTGCTAAGCTTTCTTCGAATGTTTCACATTTCATGTTTTAACTCATTATTTCTTGAAGGCTATCCGTTTTGGGGCTTCATTGGGAACGGGCCCCGGGAATGTGGGGGGCACCCCAGGAGTGGGAACGAGACCCCGGGAATGGGAGCGGGATCCGGGAGTGGGAGGGGGAATTCCGGGAGTGGGGGCGGGACCCCGGGAATGCGTGCGGGACACTCGGGGAGCTGCGGGACCCCGGGAATGTGGGGGGATCCCGGAAATGTGGGAAGGACCCCGGGAATGGGAACGGGACCCCGGGAATGGGAGCGAGACCCCGGGAATGGGAACGGGACCCGGGAATGGGAGTGGGATCCCGGGAATTTGAGGGGATCCCGAGAATGCGTGCGGGAGACTCGGGGGGCTGCGGGATCCAGGAAATGCGAGCGAGGTCCCGGGAATGCAGGAGGGACCCAGGGAATGCGTGCGGGACCTCGGGAATGTGGGGGGATCCCGGGATTGGGAACGGGACTCTGGGAATGTGGGGGGATGTGGGGAGTTTTGTTAACAGTTGGTTGGCTGAGAAAGGCCATGTTGACAAAATGCCGCTGGTTAAGCTTGAGAGGGAAGTCAGCAGTCAGTGACCAATGACAGGCAAGGACAGGATGCCCTTGCCGCGACATGAGGGTAGGGAAGAGAGATTCTTGCTGAAAATATGCAGAAAGTATCAAAAGATCAACCACAGAAATGCAGAAGTAGGCGTAGCTGCTGATCTGTAACGAACCAATCCCGAGCTCAGCCTTTGCAATATGGATGAAGCTCATTATGAACTGCATTTAACCCGCTGCGTCGATCAATAAATCGGACCTGCGATGATCCAATCGGTGTCCGGCTCTCCTTCCATCGACAGGGGGATCCCAGGAACGGGACCCCGGGAATGAGAACGGTACCCCGGGAATGCGGGGAGATCCTAGGAACGGGACCCCGGGGATGGGAACGGTACCCCGGGAATGCGGGGGGATCCCGGTATAGGAGCGGGATCCCGGTATCGGGACGGGACCCCGGGGATGGGAACGGGACCCCGGGAATGCGGGGGGATCCCGGTATAGGAGCGGGATCCCGGTATCGGGACGGGACCCCGGGGATGGGAACGGGACCCCGGGAATGCGGGGAGATCCTAGGAACGGGACCCCGGGAATGGGAACGGGACCGCGGGAATGTGGGGAGGTCCCATGAACGGGACCCCGGGAATGAGAACGGGACCCCGGGAATGGGAGCGAGACCCCGGGAATGGGAGCGGGACCCCGGGAATGGGAACGGGACCCCGGGAATGAGAACGGGACCCCGGGAATGGGAGCGAGACCCCGGGAATGGGAACGGGACCCCGGGAATGAGAACGGGACCCCGGGAATGGGAGCGAGACCCCGGGAATGGGAGCGGGACCCCGGGAATGGGAACGGGACCCCGGGAATGCGGGGGGATCCCGGTATCGGAGCGGGATCCCGGTATCGGGACGGGACCCCGGGGATGGGAACGGGACCCCGGGAATGTGGGGGGATCCTAGGAACGGGACCCCGGGAATGGGAACGGGATCCGGGAGTGGGAGGGGGAATTCCGGGAATGGGAGCCGGACACCCGGGAGTGGGGGCGGGGCCCCGGGAATGCGTGCGGGACACTCGGGGGCCTGCGGGACCCCGGGAATGTGGGGGGATCCCGGAAATGCGGGAAGGACCCCGGGAATGGGAACGGGACCCCGGGAATGGGAGCGAGACCCCGGGAATGGGAACGGGACCCGGGAATGGGAACGGGACCCTGGGAATGGGAGTGGGATCCCGGGAATGGGAGCGAGACCCCGGGAATGGGAACGGGACCCTGGGAATGTGGGGAGATCCTAGGAACGGGACCCCGGGAATGAGAACGGGACCCCGGGAATGAGAGGAGGACTCCGGGATCGGGACGGGACCCCGGGAATGGGAACGGGACTCTGGGAATGTGGGGGGATCCCGGGAATGGGAAAGGGACCCCGGGATCGGGACGGGACCCCGGGAATGAGAACGGTACCCCGGGAATGGGAACGGTACCCCGGGAATGCGGGGAGGACCCCGGGAATGGGAACGGGACCCCGGGAATGGGAACGGGACCCCGGGAATGGGAACGGGACCCTGGGAATGTGGGGGGATCCCGGGAATGGGAACGGGACCCCGGGAATGGGAACGGGACCCCGGGAATGGGAACGGGACCCTGGGAATGTGGGGGGATCCCGGGAATGGGAACGGGACCCCGGGAATGGGAACGGGACCCCGGGAATGGGAACGGGACTCTGGGAATGTGGGGGGATCCCGGGAATGGGAACGGGACCCCGGGAATGCGGGGAGGACCCCGGGAATGGGAACGGGACCCCGGGAATGGGAACGGGACCCCGGGAATGCGGGAAGGGATCCCGGGATTGGGCCAGGCCGGTCCCTCCCGGCTCGCGCTCCGCGGGGGCCATGTCGCGACATGTGGGGCCATGTCCGGACATGTCAGAACGTGTCGGGCCGGGTTTTCCCCGCGTTGTGCGGGACGCGCCTTCTCCCGGGGGCTCCTTTTCCCTTCCCGCATCCCGGGGGTCGCTGCTCCCATTTTGGGGGGGTCCCAGCCCCGCTTTGGGGGGGAGGGGAGGGGAAATTTGGGGCGCAGCCGGGATGGGGGAGGGGCGGCCATTCCGGGGGGGGGGGAGGGGCACTCCCGGTTCTGCTGATTTATTAAAAATATCGATATCGATATCGATCCGGTGCCGATATCCAACTGTCAGGGACAAAAACTCTCACGGTTTAGAGTTAGAAAATACAGGCTTATTGTGGGATCGCTCCCAAATTCACCCCGCAATTTACAGGCGATCACAGAGCCCTAATTTTATCCATATTTGGGTATTGAACACCCAAAATACAAATATTCATCACTTTGGTAATTAGTCCAAAAGTCGTTAAGCATGCGCAGTTTGTTCCTCAAAATGGGTCCGTGGTCCCTTTCATGGGGAGGGGTCCCAAAATGAGGAAGTAAATGAAGTTTTCCTCCTTCTGACCTTTTCAATGCAAACAGGACAAATTAACCCTTCGTAGAACTCCCACTCCCGTCTTCAACTGGTGTCAGAACAGAGGAATTTGTCTTATGTTCCTACAATTGTCCTATATTCATCAATTTCTATTTATCAATTTCTATTTATCGATTTCTATTTATCCATTTCTATTTATCCGTTTCTATTTATCAGTCAAAAGCTATTTATCAGTTTCTTAATTCTCCATTACAAACCCAGCTAACCCAACATGGTGCTAACAGACAATCAATTATTAGTTAACTACTCTTAAGTTCATCAAGGCCTGCCTATTTATTTTAATTAACTCCAGCACAGCTGATCTCTAACTAAAATCTTCTCTAAAATCTCCGAATTCATTAAAGTTTGTGTCTCTCTGAATTCACTACAGTTTCTGTTTCTTTGACTTCATTAGTTTCTGTTTCTCTGACTTCATTGGTTTGTGTTTCTCTGAATTCACTAAAGTTTGTGTCTCTCTAAATTCACTAAAGTTTGTGTCTCTAAATTCATTACAGTTTGTGTCTCTCTGAATTCATTAAAGTTTGTTTCTCTTAATTCATTAAAGTTTGTGTCTCTCTGAATTCACTCAAGTTTGTGTCTCTCTAAATTCATTAAAGTTTTTGTCTCTCTGAATTCATTAAAGTTTGTCTCTCTGAATTTGCTAAAATTTGTGTCTCCCTGAATTCATGAAAGTTTGTCTCTGAATTCATTACAATTTGTTTCTCTGAATTCATTACAGTTTGTGTCTCTCTGAATTCACTAAAGTTTGTGTCTAAGTTCACTAAAGTTTGTCTCTCTGAATTCACTAAAGTTTGTGTCTCTAAATTCACTAAAGTTTGTGTCTCTGAATTCACTAAAGTTTGTGTCTCTCTGAATTCACTAAAGTTTGTGTCTCTCTAAATTCACTAAAGTTTGTTTCTCTGAATTCCTTACAGTTTGTGTCTCTCTGAATTCATTAAAGTTTGTTTCTCTGAATTCATTAAAGTTTGTGTCTCTCTAAATTCATTACAGTTTTTGTCTCTCTGAATTCACTAAAATTTGTGTCCCGCTGTCCCCGCAGCTCCGACGTTCCCTGGGATCGGGAATCGCGGCCGGGAATCACCGGAGCGGGAACGGGCTCGGGCGGTGACCTCGGTGGCCCCGGAAAGAGCGCGCACCTTCCTCCTCATCCTCCTCCTCCTCCTCCTCCTCTTCCTCGTGCCCGACTTCCTCTTCCTCCCCTGGGCACGGAACCGTCGGGCGGCGGCGGCTGCGACACCGCGGGGACATCGCGGCACTGGCGGCAATCCCGGGACATCGCGGCGCTCACGGCATTCCCGGGACACCCTTGGGACTGAGAAAATTCCCGGGACACCCCCGGGACATCCCCGGGACATCCTCGGGACATCCCTGGGACGTCCCCGGGACTCACGGAAATCCCGGGCCGCTTTTGGGACTCCCGGGCCGCTTTTGGGACTGAGAAAATTCCCGGGACACCCCCGGGACATCTCCGGAACTGTTGGAATTCCCGGGACACTCTTGGGACTGAGAAAATTCCCTGGACACCTTTGGGGACACTCTTGGGACTGAGAAAATTCCCTGGGACACCCTCGGGACACCTGCGGGACATCTCCGGGACATCCTCGGGACTGCCGGAATTCCCGGGCCGCTTTTGGAATTTCCAGGACACTTTTGGGACTCTGAAAATTTCCTGGACACCCCTTGGGACTCAAAAAAAATTCTTGGAACACCCTTGGAACGCTCTTGATACTGAGAACATTCCCGGGACACCCCCGGGACTGCCGGAATTCCCGGGACACGTTTGGCGCTCCCGGGCCACTTTTGGCACCGCCCGCAGCCCCGGCGAGGAGAGGAGGCGCCGTTCCTGTCCCGCTCTCCGGGGCCATGTCCCGCTTCCTGTCCCGCTGGAGGAGGAGGCGCCCCGAGGATGCCCCCGGGGCCGCGGACCGCGGAGCTCTCCCGGAGGAGTTTTCCACCCAGTCCCGGCACCGGCAGCCCGGACAGGGCTGGGCCTGCCTGTGGAGGCACACCAGGACGCGGCATTCCCCAGGAACCGGGCACACCGGGAGAGACGCCGGGATACCGGGAGAGGCGGGAGCCGGGCCCGGGTGTGCGCAGGTGAACGGGAAAGGGCCGGGGAGCGGCGGAGCCCGGCAGGAGCGGCCTCAGGTGGGGAACAGCCCCAGAGGGACCCAAGCCCTCGGGAAGGACTTTGGGGACAAGCCGGGTGTCCCACGCCAGGCCAGGAACGGGAATGTGCCCAGGGAAGAGACGGATCGGCCTCGGCGTCGGGCCCCGCTCCCACCCCGGGCTGGGAACAGGGAGGATGAGGAGGGAGAGCCCAGCGGCAATTCCCGGAGCCCGAACAAGGACAGTGGCGCTGCCCTCCAGAACGGGAATGTGCCAGGGGAACGGAGGGATCAGCTCGTGTGCATTTCCTCGGTCTGGAATGCCAAAAGGGAGGATGAGAAAGGAGAGCCCAGCAGCAATTCCCAGAGCCGGGACATGGACCAGGACAGTGCCCTCCGGAATGGGAATGTGCCCAGGGAAGAGACGGATCGGCCTCGGCGTCGGGCCCCGGCCCCGCCTCCGCTCCCACCGCGGGCTGGGAACCGGGAGGATGAGGAGGGAGAAGTCAGCAGCAATTCCCGGAGCCGGGGGACCGTCGCTGCCGCTGCCGCCACCCCCGCAAGGGACGGACGGATGGAGGCTCTGTCGGGAGCGGAGCGCAGGGAGTGGCTCTGGCAGAGGCTGCTCCAGCTGGGAGAGGACATGGCCAACTGGGAAGGGAAGCCCACGGCGGAGCTGGCGGCCGGGCTGGCGCGGCGCATCGCGGAGACGCCCCTCGGCAGCTACCCCGAGGGGCCGGGGGGGACCCGCAGCGCCCGGCGGGAGCGGAGCTCCGGAGCCAGCCCGGACCCCGACATCGCCAGCGGGATTTATGGAAGCCTCCTCGGAATGCCGAGAGCCAGCGGGAGCACCGAGAGCGCGGAGGAGGACTCGGGCTCCGGCTCAAGCTCGGGCTCAGGCTCAGGCTCAGGCTCAGGCTTAGACTCAGGCTCAAGCTCGGGCTCGAGCTCAAGCTTGGGCTGGGAGCAGGGCTCTGGAGCCAACTCAGATCACGACATTTCCAGTGGGCGTTACAGGAGCCTCCTCAGAATGCTGGGGGCGAGTGGGAGCACTGAGAGCGCGGAGGAGGACTCAGACTGGGAGCAGAGCTCTGGAGCCAGCCCAGACTGCGATATTCCCAGTGGAAATTGCTTCATCGGAATGCTGAGGGCCAGCGGGAACGCCGAGAGCGCGGAGGAGGACTCTGGCTTGGAGCAGGATCAGGATCAGGCCGCCATGAACGGCGGGCAGGCTCCCAGCCGCCTGGAGCTGAGGTTCCCGGAGGTGTGGGCGCGCTCCCGGCTGGACTGCGGGCGCGTGGCCGAGGAGGTGCAGCTGGACGGGGCCCCGGTGCCCTTCCAGCAGCAGCACCAGCTGAGCCCGGACGAGGAGGAGCAGGTGGCGGAGCTGCTGCCGGAGTACCTGGAGCAGGGAATTGTGGTGAAGGGCACCTCCGAATCCAACAATCCCTTGATTCTCTACCAAAAACGGCATGGGCACGGCGTCCGCCTGACCCTGGACTGCGGCGCCCTCAACGCCGCCACCCCCGTGGGGCCCCAGGAGCGGCTGGACCGGGACAGGCTCCTGACCTCCATCAACCCCCGCAGCCGCTTCTTCTCCGTGCTGGACCTGTCCAACGCCTGCCTCGCCATCCCGCTGGCCTCCAGCTGCTGGCACCGCTTCGCCTTCACCTTCCGGGGCCGGCAGTACCTGTTCACGCGGCTGCCGCCGACGTTCCGCGGCACCGTCTCCATCCTGCACCGCCGCGTGGCCGCCGTGCTGAGCCGGCTGAGCCCCGACACCGCCCGCGGCGTCTTCCACTACTGCGACGACATCCTGATCACCGCCAAGCGCCGGCGGCAGCTGCGGTTCCGCACCCGCCGCGTGCTGCAGCTGATCCAGAGCGCCGGCTTCAAAGTGAACCGCGAGAAGACGCAGCTGGTGCGGCCCGAGGTGAATTACCTGGGCCTGACCCTGAGTGCCGCGGGGCGCCGCGTGTTCCACGAGAGGCTGAACCGGATCTGCCAGGACTGCGACGCTCCTGAGCCCTGGCATCCCATCCGGCTCCGCTCCGTCCTCGGCGAGTTCAACGATCTGAAGGAATTCATCGCCGACTACTTGGAGCTGGCGATGCCGCTGCAGGACCTGGCGGTGCCGGAGAAGTGGCAAGGGGAGCGGGAATGGAAGTGGCAGCGGGAATGGCAACAGGGAGGCTGGGAGCAGCTGCAGCGGCTGAAGGAGGCTCTGAAGGCGGCACCCACCCTGCTTTTCCCCAATAAATCCCAGCCCTTCGTGATCCGGCTGTCGGTGCACGAGTGCTCGGTGGGAGCCGTGCTGCTGCAGGAGAGGGAGGGAGAGCTGCTCCCGGTGCGGCACTGCTCCCACAGACTCCGCGGCCAGAGCTGGGACCCGCAGGACGCCGCGTGCCTGGCGGCCGTCCGGGCTGTTGAGGCCTTCCAGCACCTCATGGGGCCGGCTCCCATCCTCATCCAGGGCCCCGCCGGGCGTTACCTGCTCCGGGGCAAGCCGCTGCTCGAGGGCTACACCGGCGACCCCGAGTTTCCGGAGCGATGGAGGGTGCTGGTGACCACCAAGGGCCTGGAGTGGCAGGAATCCCAAACCGCGCCGATCCCGCTGGCCCCGGGGCTGCAGGAACCCCAATGGGTGTCGATCCCGCTGGCCCCGGCGCTCTGGCAGCTGCCTGACGACATTCCCAAAGCCAACGTCTGGTTCCTGGCCGTGGAGAAGGGATCGTCCGGAAAACAGTCCGTGGCCTTTGCTGCCGTGAACCGGGAGGAGCGGTGGCTGCTGGGGCTGCGGCAGGGCCGCGAGGAGGAGGCGGCGGTGCTGGAGGCGCTGCAGGAGCTGCAGGAGCAGCACCGGAGCTGCCACCCGCTGTTCCTCTATTCCAGCTGGCCCCAGCTGGCGCCGAGGCTGAAGCAGCTTGAGCGGAGCTGGCGCTACAGCCAGGGCACGATGCCCGCGGCGCTGCGCCGGCTCCGCTCCTTCCCGGGAATGCTGCACGTGCGCCAGGTGGGATGGCACGGCAACGTGGCGCCGGACGAGAGCAGATGGATGCAGAAGGTGACAGCCAGAGCCAGAGCCATGGCTGAGAACCCCGTGGAGAGCCGGAAGGTCTGGGAGCCGTCGGCGTACGAGCGGCAGGAGATCGTGGCGCAGTGCCACCGCCGGTGCCACGACGGCGTGCAGGAAACGCTGCGCTGCGCGCAGCACGTGCGGCCCTGGGGGAACGCCCGCGAGGACGTGGCGCGCTGGGTGCGGCGCTGCCCCCGGTGCCAGGAGGGGAATCCCATTCCCGATCCCAACCCCGACCCGGCCCCGCAGCGCGAGCGGGGCCCCTGGTCCCGGCTGCGGCTCAGCCTCTGCACGGGGCTCCTGGAGAGCCCCGAGGGGTTCCGGGCGCTGCTGCTGGTGCAGGACGAGCTCTCGGGCTGGCTCGACGCCTTCCCGCTGCGGGAGCCCGCGCAGCCCGAGGTGTGCCAGGTGCTGCTCCACGAGGTGTTCGGGCGCTTCGGGAGGGTGGGCACGGTGCTGCTGAAGCCCAAACCCACCTGGCTGTGGCAGCTGCTGCGGCGGCCGCCCCTCCTGGGCTGGCACGGGCGCCTGGAGCCCGCGGAGCCGGCGGAGGGAGCGGCACCGGGGGTGGCCAGGGTGGCGCAGGCGCTCGGGAAGGGCTGGGCGGCCGCGTTGCCGCTGATCCGGGCGGGATTCGCGGCCCAGTGGGTGCGGGAGGAGGAGCTGGGAGCGCTGCTCTGCATCCCCGGGCTGCCGCTGGAGGTGCGCTGCAGGAATTCGGATTGGAAGGGGGAGTGCGGTGGGAATGGGAATGGGAATGGGAAGGAGAACGAGCTCTTGTGGCTGAACGCGATGGAGATCCTGGAGGGATACCGGCAAGAGGTGCAGGAAGCGCTCTGGTAGGAGCTGGCATCGAGATCTGGGATTGGGAACCAAGATCAGGGGGCTGGGATTGGGATCCGAATCTGGGAGTTAGGATCGGGATCTGAGAGCTGGGATTGGGATCAGGAACCAAGATCTGGGATTGGGATTGAAGCCCTAAAGCAGATAGCCTTCCAGAAGTAATGGGTTAAAACATAGAATAAGAAGCATGTAAAGAAGGGCCTGGCACTAGAACACACGGAGAAAGCACAGCACCAGGAAAACAGAGCAATAAATTAGATAAAAGGTAGAGCATCATGACAGGGGAAGA